TGACTTTCTTCTTCTGGATATTTGTTGGGCGATGGGTTCTTGCTTCGTTGCTACCCAGCCAGAGTTTCTCATCGCCTATTCTTATTATTCTGGCCATCCATTGATGTTGTATGTTGATGTATGTGTGTAGTTTACTGGAAATGCTTTTCGTAAAGCGCCGAGTCTCTCAGCCATAACATAGAAGCACTGAAGTGACTAACATTAGTGTTGTTCACGCTTTATGCTCAGTGTAGTGCAGTGGAATAGATCGCCATACTGCTTTTGTATTGATGAAGGCCTGTCTTGCTGTGTTTCCGATCCTGGCTGGCTTTGATGTCCTCATCTGTGCCACCACCGCCGCCTGTAGTCGAAACGATGCTGCCTAGGTAGGTTGCTAAGTGAAGGAGACAAATTCTTTTAGATTTCTCCCGCTGGTGGTGCTTCTTGTTTTTGTTGTTTTTGGTTGGATACCTTCACCACCTCCGTCTTCTCTACATTCACCTGAAGTCCGTGTAATTTTGCTGCCCTGCCTCTTCTGCCAACTTATTACTTTTCGCCTGTACGTCTTCCAGTTTGTGCGACATAACACATTAGACATAAATCATCATCAGAGAAATCCAAATCTTCTAGGCTCTTGTCATCAGTCAAACAGCATATGCCCATCTTCTCGCTCCTCACGATTTGCTGCATGATCCAGTCGACCACAATCAGGAAGATCATAGGTGATAATAGGCAGCCTTGTCTTACTCCTATCTTCACTTCAAAGGCATCAACGAGCTTCCCATAATGAATTACTTGGCATGTGGTGTCCTCATATAGTTGTTGAATGAGGTTGACGAGGATTTGTGGCATTCCGTAGTGTAGAAGCAGTTGCCAAATCACTTCTCGGTCGACGCTGTCGAAGGCCTTTTCAAAGTCGATGAAGTTGAGGTAGAGTTGAGTTGACTACCATTCTATGCTCTGTTCTGTGATAATGAGTAGCGTTGCAATTCGGTCTGCACATGATTTGTTCTTCCTGAAGCCAGCCAGCAAACTGTTCCTGTCGTAGTTTTGAATCCAGTGCATCCTTTAGTCTCTCCAGGATGATGCGGCATAATATTTTGCTTCGGGGTGGACAAGAGTGGAGCATGATTCCACGCCAGTTCTTGCAATTACTGAGGTCTCCCTTCTTCTGGAGATTGACAAGGTAGCCCTTCTTCCAATTTGCAGGTACTTTTCCTACCTTTCTTCCAAACCTTCTGGAGTAGTGGTCCGAGCATGTCCGTTGTTGTCTCTGCGTCTGCTTTGAATGCTTCTGGAGGAATTCCATGTAATCCTGATGCTTTCCGGGATTTCAGCATTTTTATGGCATTCAAGACTTCACTTCTCTTGTTGGAGGCCATATTTTCATTCATAATTCTGTGGCTGGGCTGCTGTTGGTATTTCTGGACGAGTTGCAGGTGGTAATGGTGGTCGATTCGAGAGCTTCTTGAAGTGGTTAGCCCATCGTTTTCTTTGTTTCTCCTCTTTGGTAACTAGGTTTCCTTCACTATCTCTCATTGGTTTCGTCTGTGTTGATCTCATCCCTCACAGATAGTAACCTTATGATTTGATATAATGTTGTCAGGTCTCTCCTACCTGTAGGCTGTTCTGCTTCTCTTGCCAATGTGTCGTAGAAGTGTCTTTTGTCTTTGTGTGTACTCTCCTTCACTTCTTTGTCCAGTGTTTTATACGTTGTACTCAGTTCTTCCCTTCGTTGTGCATCCTTGCACTGCTTCGTCTTCTGCTTCACCATCACTATCTTCCTCTCCCTTCTCTATCAACTTCCATGTATTCGTTGAGGTTCATCCCTTGTCTTCTTTCTTCTTCCTTCCCAACACGGTTATGCAGGTTTCCTTCCACTTATCTTTCAAAGAGTTTCAGTGTTCTTCGACGCAGGTTTCCTTAGAGATATCGCTTAATGTCTCCCGTTTTGTCCTGATGAGTGACTGACATGATGTCCTTTTAAGTTTCGTCGGTCAGCTTCTGTTCTAGGTGTTGAACTTGAACTGTGGTCTATCATCACCAACTTCTTTGAAGGCTTTCAACTTGGTTTGGAAGGTAGGTTCCTTGCAGTAGATACCAGATAGTGGTGTGAACCTACATTTGACCCCCTTCTCCAACCTGTGTCCAGTAGGCTGCGTCTCCACTTTCTTCACGTTGGGATGAAGTCGTTCTGATTTTTTGTGTGGTGTGTACATCTGGTGAAGTCCATGTCGCTTCGTGAATATTCTTGTGTTTGTACACAGTGCCTCGCCTCCAATCACCAAATCGTTGAATGCGCAGAAATCTGCAAACAGTTCTCCGTTCTCATTCATCTCACCGAGTGCCTCTTGACCCATGATTGGTTTTCTTCATGTGTTGTCTGCTCCCAGTTTGGCATTCATGTCACCCCATCCATTACAATTTTGATGTCGCCATTTGAGGTGTCGTCCAGTGTTGATTGCAGTTGTCTGTAGAATTCCTCCTTCTTTGTGCTTTGAAGTTTTTTTAGCGATTGGATTGGTTTTCCGGGGTAGGGTTTCTAACCCAACGCCCAACCTTCCCTCTTTACCCGGGCTCAGGACTGGCTAGTAACTAGTGAACTAGTTAACCAGGCGAGGTTTGATTAACCTTTACTCTATGATTATTTCTGTCAGATATTATTTCCTCTCAATGAGTTAAAGTATGTTGAATTCTCAGTAAAACTATATACTTTGCTATTCTAGGTTGTGAACTGCTGACAAGATACCACCGAAACAAAATGGGTCCGTTTTATCCTGTTCTCAGTGTTTCTTGTTTTTACTCTTTTCTATAAGGGGGAATTTGTGTGTATGAAATCTCTATAGTCATATTTTTGGAAACTTCCTTAATGCCATTAGTATGCTACTGGTTACTTTTTAACCATTTTTAGCTTAACTGTAAAACTCTAAATGATGCAGGTAGTAGCCTTTATTCGAAGCAGGTAGGCACGGGCATTTCATTCATGCAAACGTCTTTTAAGCCTAATAGCATTCTATGGAACCTTTTTCTATTAGTCATTTGCCTACGACATAATCTTCATTGTCTGTTAACAAACTTCTAATCACCGCTATCCAATCGATTACTTTCACATATGACATAGGCGTTCCGTAGCCTCTACTCGCTGCTAATCGTGTAGATGCTAGTACACATAAGTATGAAGTGAGTTTTTCTTCTTCATGAAAGCTGTAACTTAACTTGCATAAGCACTCCTGGCGACAAATCTTCTCCATGGAAATGATGCCCTGGAAACGATTAAATTCCCACTTCATTTGAAACCAGCTGGTTGTTGGAGAATAAAATATTTAATACGGGGATAAAGGTTAATTAGGAGTAGTGCTATAATGTATCTGTCAGTCATTGGGCCCACAGAACTGACAACGTTTCATGATTATGCTCGTGGATAGGACAGAAAAGTCTTTGTACAGACACTGAAATCAGTACGCCGGTAATATATCCTACTATCAATCAATAGACGAGCATACTGCGCTGCATTCCATTCTGTTTCGTTATACGGGTTTGAGACTTGGTTGTTGTAAGCAGAAGACATGAAGCAGTTATAGGTTTTTGATCATAGATATCTTCGTAGCATTACTCGCATGTGGTGAAATCACCGTGTGAGCAATGCTGGAGTTAGGTGAAGGGTACTAGGCAAGTCGGTTGGTGAGGTTGCCAACCTTAGTTGACTGAGATAGGTTGGACCATGTACTGCGCATCCCGAGCTACTACCTACCTCAACGTGGCATACTAAGGGAAGTTGGATTAGGATAGAAGATTCAGGGTGGCCAGACCAAGGCCTGACAACAGTCGTGTACGGGAGATGTAGACTGCCTGGCTGGGGTCCTCGAAACGACAGGAATCAGTGGTTAAGGACTCTTGGTGACATAGATGAAAATTGATCACAACGGCGCAGTTGTGTTCACTCCTTGGCATCTAAAGTCTCAATATTTTCACCAACCGTTATCTTCAAATTGTTTATCCTCTCAAACACTTTAGTCTAATTTGAGACCACTCTTTTTCCATCCGACTGTTGTTTTGGGTACTACTGTGAGATGTGGCAACTTGAGCCGATACACCTGTGTAGCAGCTTCTACTTTGGCTTTGTTAGTCAGTCAGCTTATCAATCAGCAACAAAAAAGGAACGTAATAATATGACTAACATATCCTCATATAAGCTTTCAACTAGCAATCAGTCTTTATGATGAAACCGTCAGTAGAGCTATTTTCGTACCAACATTGTTGTGAATAAACTAGGTAAGAGTGAACAAGTCTTAAGCAATACTATAACCTGACTGATGCTACAATAGTTAGGGAATAAAGGAGTTACACAATGTATGAATAATTTCCACATGAATCTCCTCAGTGTTTTTTCTAATACTCAACGAGTACACTGAAATTCAAGACTCTTAATCTTAAGGATAGTGAACACCATTAGGAATGAGGAGTAATTAAGGAGGTGATCTCACTGAACTAACCACTCCACATGTGTTCGTCGCCTGACCTCCACATTGCTCACATGAAGATCCTACCAACAGCAAATAATGCTGCGAAGACATCTGAGATAAAAACCTTGTAACCACTTCATGTCTTCTACTTATAACGGCCTTATCTCATAGACATATAACAGGACAGCACGAAATACAGCGCAGTACACTCGTCATTTGATTGACAATTGGTTATCTCTCTAGCCAGTGCCACAGCTGATGAAACTTGCCATATGCCAAACGAGCCTTCTGTATCCGAGTTGAGGTTTCGGCGGCAATCAGACAATTCGAGTTGATTCAACTTTCCAAGTAAGTGAATTCATCGATGCATTCTACTACTTCACTCCCCATAATTAAACTGGGAGTAGTTGAAGACCAGTCGTGGAGCATCATCTTGCATTTGACAGATGCGAAATGCATGCCAGGAAGTGTCAACCGCACTTATAAATATGTAAGTTTTATTTTGTCTGTATGCTATACAGTGTTTATCGCCTACCCAAAGATATGAAAAAGAAATCATCGCGAAAACTTTCGGAGTATTTATATATACACAAATAATCAGTTATCAAATGAAAGAGGGGTAAAGCACAATTCGAAAATTCTTCATGAAGATCAAAGTAACATACATATATGTTAGAGTAGTAATAATAAAAGTTAAAGTAGTAATTTTAAAGGCATACACAGTTAGGGTAGAAATCCTCAAGGGATAAGAGGGTTAGTGTAGATAGGTGGGTGCATATGAACTCTATCCAGAAGTGGAAAACAAAAGCATCGGGAAGTGTTGTCCAGTGGACAAGCACGCATATAGTACCAAAAAAAGGCAAAAACAGTTGACACTCTGAACGACGGTAATGACTACCAAACAAGAATGTTGATGAAGCGATATACGCATGTATAGCTATACATATAATAATATAGTGATTTTTATAGAAAATAATGAATCAAAAGCTGAAAAACGACAGTAGACAAAAGAAGTACAAATGGCAACTATGCAGAAAGAGTGAAATATGACACAAAAAAATGATAGAAACCACTATGTAGGCAGAAGACGGACAACACTGGTGATGATGATGATGATGATGATGGTGATAATATAGCCCCCAGGAAAATAAAAACAGAGTGACTAGACAACAAAATGCTTCATAGTCAGTAGCCTCCGACACTACGATCATGACTTGACGGTAATACCTTTTGATGTATATGACTACCGTCACCACTGTCTACCAATGTGACATATGACTTCAAAGAGTAACTAATCACAATAATGGAAGCAATTATATGAGGTATAAAATAAAATAAACGCAAAAATTTTAAAGATGCATAGAAATCTAGTAAATGAAATGGTGCTTGTCCATAATTAATTATTAGATTGGTAAGTATCATAGTGAACATGTCGTATAGATGGACACTAAGAGAAGTTTTATGAAAATACTGACGATATTGTCGACGCCAAATACGAGAGGCCGCAGTGAAAAGGGCAAATGACAAAAACATTATATAATATCCAGGATAAAAGCCATGCCAAAAAGCACTTATTATAAACACAAGCATTGTACGATAAGAAACAGGAAGACGATCATAAAATGTTTCACGTAACCAACGTGTGGTGGATATATTCCATGCATCCACAACATCTTTTAAGCCAACTCCGGATTCAACTTTAATAAAATCAAAATTACGAACATTATAGTTCAGTGTTTCACCTGTATTTGGACAGTGACCAGTATATCCAGCACCAATAGCTACTCCATTGACTTCAGCCAAACCCCATGCAAAATAATACTTTTGTCGAATAAGGAATAAAGATATTGTTACGTACAAAATTCGATGAAGTATTGAATAATGCTAGATAATAGTAAGAAATATAAGAAGAAAACAAAAAGGGAATTTAACATTTTCATCACTTGTTTCACAGAAACAGTATGAACTACGGTTTAATGCGTGCAGCTGGCTTTACTCTAAACTACATTTTAAAACAACAAGAACAAAGTGCATTGATATAAACAATACTACTAGTCTGTTTCACCACGGTAGTCACACTGATAATCAATATGATGCTCCCCTTCTATAATTCAGCTTAATTTGGATTAGGACGGGAAGAACTGGCTGGACAGCCAGTATGATTACGATCAACGAAAAGACAGATAGATAGACAAAATCAATCCCATACATGTGTACCGGCTCAAGTTGCCACATCTCACAGTAGTACCCAAAACAACAGTCGGATGGAAAAAGAGTGGTCTCAAATTAGACTAAAGTGTTTGAGAGGATAAACAATTTGAAGATAACGGTTGGTGAAAATATTGAGACTTTAGATGCCAAGGAGTGAACACAACTGCGCCGTTGTGATCAATTTTCATCTATGTCACCAAGAGTCCTTAACCACTGATTCCTGTCGTTTCGAGGGCCCCAACCAAGTAGTCTAAATTTCTCCACACTGCTCATACCAACAGTGAAATACTTCACTGATTGGTAGCAGGTCTTGGTCTGGCTAGCCTGAACCCTCTTCCACTCTAATCCAACTTCCTCTAGCATGGGACGTCGATTTAAGTGGTGGCTCGGCATGCGTGAATGAACAGTTACGTATCACAGATTCATATAGAAGTCGGATAAAATCCAAGGTAACTGAAGTGAAATTAAGATCTGATAACTAGTTCGTTCTCGTAGCTCAGCTGGTAGAGCACCCACCCGGTAACCCAGAGGCCACTGGTTCGAATTCTGCCGCGAGTCAGGTTTTTAATTAACCTTCAATCATCACCCAATATCAGTAAAAACTATCTTTATATAAGTTAAGATTAAGGGATCAGCAAATAGATGAATGTTTTTCATCTACTAGTGCCTCCATTTAACAAGTAATCTCTAAAATCCCAGTAAAAAGCCACAACTTAAATGGTGTATTAAGTCCAGTGAGTTACAAAATGAGTTTTTGGAACAACACACATTCTATGAAATGCAGGCGCAACTTATTGACATATGTTGGAAATTATTGCAATAGGCTGTGAAGCATACACATGTAAAGACTAAGAATACTATACAGTTGCTTGAGCACCTTGATAAACGAAGAACAAGTGGTTGGAGGTTGAGTCTTGAATATGGGCGGTCGGAACTTCCCGGTTGCCCACACCATGGAAGGCTATTTTTCCTTAAGGTACCTGAAAAGGAAAGAGATTTGTGTGACCGCATAGTTTACGGGACATCTGCATGAGGCATGTCACATACGGCCTTTCGCGGGTTGTTTTGAGGTTTGGTTGTTCTAATGCTGGATAGAGAAGACCCATACCGCCGGCACAAGAAGACCGTGGGGCAGGAAAGATTGTACTATTTGGAGGGCCGATCTTTTCCACCCCTGCTTTCCTATAAGGAAGGTAGCATCAGCGTGGTATTGCTGGTCATCCAAGGGAAACACACCTTATTGTTGCACACTTCATCCAACCACCAGTACAAATTCGCCTACAGACACTTATCAGAGTGAAGTAATTTAAATTACACCGGTAACTGTTTTTTTTCTTACCATTATCCAACAGACCTTTTTGGTATGGTAAAACCACAACGGAACAAGCGTTTCAGCCAGTGTAGCTCGTTGGGTCCCTGCAGTATACAGGCCCAACCACCACGTGACAGAGTGGAGGTTGAGTTCACCAAAATGATCGAGCAAGTCGGCTCTGTATAGCAACGGGAAATTACAAATATCAAAACAACAACTACAACTCCCATTAGTGATGTGCTAACCAAAAGACCTAAATGAAACATATTTGTAAAATCCCAGTGAGGTAGAAAAATAAATTTCTGATGTGGAAATCGCTTCTTCAAAGGACAAAACCTGTATAAGTTATCGACTATTTAAACAGAAATTCATTTTTCTACCTTATTGGGATTTTACAAATATGTTTCACTTATAATTCATTTAGCCAATGCTCAACTTAGTTAACCCTATCAGGTTAAATTTTGATCCTGAAGTTTACAAAAGACCTAAAGACTATACTTTGGATCCCAAAAGAGGCAGTGCTGGTGAAGATCTGAAGCAGTGCAAAGGAAAATGTCTACTTCTGCCTGATGTTTACCTAGTTCATGTTTCATTTTCAGACAAGTGTATTTAAAACTGGAGCTGTGGCTAATTGGTGTAGAGAGATGACGTTTAACCTATGGGTCACTGGTTTAAACCCCGCCCAACCTACAGCGGTTTGGGCAGCATAGTATTACTAGCTTTCACACAATATGTGTGGCTCATCGTCTAATGCACAAATGTGCACAAGGTTGCTGGGTGGATTTCGATTTTATGATTGATTTGTATTTAAAATTAGGTAGTTTATGCAAAAACGATTCACTTGAGAAAAGTTTTATACCACCACTTTACAGATAGTATGAAATATCGTCCAGTAGCATAGGTACTGAGTAGTGTGTTTATGAAGACGTCTGAATATCAAATTTTGTGATGAAACAAGATGCAAATACCACACTCCTGACTGCTCGCCAAGATTTACTATTTTGTTCAGGATAAAAATAGATCTAATCTAAACGTTAAAATACCGAATGGGGTGAAGATATCATTTAGTTTGAGAGGTGACTGGAGTATGCACTATGTATATTGAACCTGCAGTCACATAGACTAGAAAGTCTAACTGGGTTATTAAGTTAAAAGAGAAACCAGGAAAAGTTGCGGAGCATTGCCATGTACGCTGAACTCATAGGTACAAGACCGAGTTAAACGAATTTGACCTCAGGCATATTCTAATTAAACTGTCCATTTTTACTATTACGGACCTAACCTTTCCATCGCATTCTGATTTCCTCTAGTTTTTATATCGTTTTCATTCTATTTGGTATGTAGAATGCAGCTTTTATATTTCACAATAAAGTGTCTTTTGTGAAATTTCACAGAAAGTAGAAAACGACGTTAAACAGTTTTCGTGTTGCTTTGTTCCCATAATATAGATAAATCAATATTAAATCTAGCTAAAAAGTGCATCAGTTCAAGTTGTAAAACTTTACAATAGCATATGAAGAGGAAACTGACGGAAGAAGAATGGCAAACAAGTAAACAGACCTTCATGAGAGAGAATACGTAAATTTAGGTTGTCTGAAATATTCAAGATTTTGGAGACGACAGTGGATAAATCTTCGCCATTGTGATCAATTTTGGGCCATATTGCTGAGAGCATTCAAACACTGATTGCTATCGTATTGAGATGGATTATAATCTACTTATGTGGCTCAAACCGAGTCAGAGACTTGATGAACTGTTACCATATCTTGGCCACACTTAGCTTTCTTTCGACTTAACCCTGCTTCGTCAAATGTCGCTCACCAAGGTATTCAGTGGCTTGGTGGTTGTAACATATGTCCAAACCACCCTGGTTATTGAGGATCGATATCCTTTATAAGCCTAAGCTTAAGAGTTTACATATAATCTTATTAATAGCTTATTCTACATAAATCTGATAACTCTAGTGGCATTTATACTGAAAGAATTTGGTATAGTTAAAAGCAAAATAGAACATCACAATGGTGCAGTCAGTTTAGTTCTGCACAGAACCTATGGTCGATGCTTGAGGAAATTCAAGAGTACTATAAACTGTAGTTACATAGAAAAACTTTTGTGATTTAAGACTTTTGTCACATATCATTAAATGTCTGACACTAACGCTCTACTGGGTCGATTTACCCGAACTCCATTGGCAGATGAGCTTCCATGAGAAGGCCTCTATACTGCTTGAATATTCATTATGTTGTAGTTTCTTTGGTGGCTAGCAGTGAAATCCAGGACGCACTTTTCATTCTACTTGAGACTCGTCAGCTGGATGTACCTCCACCCCAGTGAGTGACGCTGTTCCTCCTAAAACTCGAGTCGAGTAACCATCCATTCAAAAGCGAAAGCGTTATCTACTAGGCCACTGAGGGACGATAGCCATCCCGTTTGCAACGGGTATCCGTTGTTGTTTATCGGTACCTGTAATTCAAGCCTCAGTGGGGTCCAAGTACATCCAGCCAACGAGTTTCGAATGGGACAAAACATGAGTCTTGGATTTCACCACTAGCCACCGGGTAGACTACTTAACACCGATATGGCATACGACTTTAACATCAATATTCTGTACTAATACATTGGTGAAGTAGGGAAAAAAAGCTACACAGAACTTACCTCAAATGCTTCAGTTAATACAAATTCAAAAGGAAAGTAAGGACACAAGTAAGCCGCTGACAGACCTGAAGCTAGGGTACGTAGAAATAAGGTGATCAGATAACGAATATTGATTGGAGGCAGTTCTCCCGTATCATAACCTTTAAGATAGTCCATATATTCCGAGTAGAAGATAAATGGTCCAATACATACACCATGAAAATACAGCATATATGAAAAAAATATTATTGGATCTGGAATTTTTTCAACTGCATGCGTTTTATGACTTGCAGGCATATTTATTAATATTGAATGTTTATCAAATGTTTCATTCTCTATTGTTTTGCAATGATTTGATTTATGATAATGAATAGGGTTCAAACTCGTGTTCGGGGTTACTATTGAATCTAGAGAAGTATATGTATTTCGTCTGCGACTAGATGACAGTATTTGAAATTGTTCAACTGAATCACAGTTGACTGAATCATTAGGAGGGTTGACTTGTTGTTTTTTGATACAAATAGAATTCCGCTGTTTTCGAATCATTGCACCATCAACAAGATTAAAAGCTAGACTAGAAAGTCGTTGAGTTTGTACCATAACAGGTCCAGAAATATCTAAAGTATATCCACCATAATCGTATTGTAACCGACAGAAATGAACTAGTGTTAGGTAGAATAATGACCAAACTGTTACCAATACAGCCATGAAATGATTGTGAGGCAAACAAACCATTAATAGGTAAGCAATACTTGATTGCAATAATAAAACTCTTAGTTGATTTCCAAAGCAAAATGATAATAGAAGTAGACCGAATACAGTTTCAATAAGTGCACGAATTCGAGGGGAACACTTTTGAGGTGACAGATGATGTCGCATCAGTTGGCCAAGAGCGAAGCTAACCACTCCACTAACAACGTAGTTTATTTGATCCAGGGGAACATGCATAAATTCAGCAAGCGGAGAAAAAGTTTGTGAACTCTTGTAGAAGCCACCACGAATCGGTTTGCCATCCTCCAAGGGTGCATCAAGACCCATGAAAACTTCACTGAAATATGTCCATGAGAAGAATTTCATCTTGATTTGAATCACCGTGGATTGCGATTAAACATAATAATAATTATGAGACGTAGGCTACAATGAAGCAGATCATTGTGTAAATCAGGAAAAAATTTCAAAGTTAGAAAACAACCATAGAAATGAACTAATTCAGATAAGAAGCAGCGAGTGAATTTAATGCTTACAATATCTTCGAGTCAGTAGATTAAGCGATGTTCGTAGAACAAGAACATGCATCAATACTAGCTGTCTATTGTGAGCTTAATACCGTTGACTAGCTTGAATTTTATATATGAACGAAAAAACAAGGGTAAATAGTACATTCGATTACAATAGTAAATAAGTGAATCTTTGAGTTCCCAATACGCGATATGGTGTTCTTGTAAAACCTATCACGCTGTTAGTCATTGTGAAGTAATAAAACTTGACTACGGACCTCAATATCTTGAGGGTGTTGATCAGTAGCCAGAAGCTAAAACCCAGCTCACCTTCTGTGGATTAGAAAATCTGTGAGTGAAAAGGCGTCGTCACGATAATCTGTGACTGTGACTCAAGGAGTTTGCCATTACACTGTATAGGCTGCTAATCTTCAGGTTAGCGGGATCAGAGAACTTATCATTACCAAAGCGCTGGTTACGTGACCATTCCTTGAGCCAATAAATCACGTTCTGCATTTAAGTGGTAGCACCAGCATCAATGGGAATGGCTGGAGGGAAACCGGGAAGAACTAGCACTAATGCAAAAAATCGAAGATAAGATCCTAATATTATCTTGCGATCTGATTAAAATTGTTTATTGTTATGTATACCAGAGGGTTGAGAAGCATCAAACGTAACAGAAACATGATAAACAAGATTTGCATACCACATTGTAGTCTCTTTGATGGCCAGCAGTGGAATGCAGGACGCGCGTTTCATCCCACTAGAGACTCGTCAGCTGGATGTATCTGCACCCCAGTGAGTGTTGTTCCCATTAGGATTCAAACCCAGTACTCAACGCTCCAAACGCCAAACGTTTGCAGACTTTTCCATGGAAAGTGACAAGTTAATTAATGTAAGTCAGTGGAGCTGAATGCAACTTTGTGTACTTGAATATATTGCAAACGTACTTCCGTAAGATTACCAACACTACCCAATTGATAAAACTTCAGTAAAGCTGAAAATAAGTCTATGATTTAAAGGTGAATACATTTCTTGCCAAACCGGTTGCAATGCTTATTTCTCTAAACAGAATGGTAGGGGAGAAAATGTAGAAAAGAAAGGCAAAGTAGTGAATCTCAGAGGGTAAACTCATACTGCTGAATATTTTTCTACAAACTGGCTATCATTTCCATATTTATGAGTTGAGCAATGTTGTCTAATTATTTTTGGAAGGGATTGTAGTGACTATTATCCTGAAAACCGTAACTTTTTGTGTTACTTTTATCCCTGATAATGAGAATCTTTCAAATATGAGTGGATACATTGAGTGAGCTGCTCAGATAGACTTATAACAAACCGATATGGTGACTGTGGATACTCATAAAGATATGGGATGCCTGCATCATTTTTAGAATATATCTTAACCCGTTAACAATACGAAAGGTTTATCATCTCAAATAATTATTGGAACAGATGAATACATAACGAAAGCCACTTAGCAGAAATAAAATCATGTGAGATTACAGACAATATGATATACAATAGAGATATGATAAAACATGATATTAGCCAATGACAGACATTTTCACAACGCATGCATGTTCTACACTAGTTTATAAATAGATCTTGAATAGGGTCTCTAACAGGTAACATGAGTTCCCAAAGGTTGTAAGTAAACTCTTCTCCTACTGATAAGGACCACTGGCAAAACTGAAGACTGATCTCATACATCTAACACCAAATGCAATGGAGTACAGTTCTAAGGTCACATTAATTTTGCAATTGAAAAACTCGAACAGTACTGTGAGCCAGAGAGTATACTTGTGAGTATATAACGTCTTACGGCTGATCTATATATATTCGCGCATATCGGGTAGCAAAAAAGAATACAATCACACAAAATATAAAATGTCAGACGGACAAAAAGCGTTTTCCAAAAGAAGAGGAAGAATAAAAACTGAAAGTTGTTATCTACTTGTTTTTTGAATTAATTTTATGTACAGCGCAGTAAAGTGAGTGTCACATAAGAAGTAATGTACACATTATGATAAGATTTCGACACTAATCAATTTGACACAAAGGAAGATTTTTACAATATTTTATAAATAGTATTTTTCATTCCTAAGTAAATCAAAAAATAAAAAGCCATTCATCTGAAGGAAAAATTACAAAACTAAATGCCTAGAAGGGTAGAAGTACTTGAATTATCTGCGTATGGATGTTGAAGGTGGGTTTCACCAAAATACAGTCCTTTTACAGAAGTTATTCGTTCAATCCAGTCATCAGCATGACCAGAAGGATCTTCCAAGTAATAAGTTCTATTTGGAACATGTATAAAAAACAACTTGTTACTTCTCAGTTCAAGAGTTAATGAACTGGACCATGGGACTTCGCCTTTTAGTGTCATGTTTTCAACATCTACGTAAAAGAGATGGGGACCTTCAGTTAGCAAGAACATACGCTTTCTCGCAAACAGACCTCGACGCTTGAACAAAATGCCTTGTTTCAAAATTAAACGACCACGAGTAAAACGATTAAAAGGATTTTGTATTTCTTGTGCCTTTAGTAAGCGAGTACGATCATCTTCACTTATTTGAGAAGCAGCTAAGCCAAGCTCACGTGATAGGTGATACTTTTTTCCGTCTTCAAAACCAACAGGTAAGTCATCCCAGCCTTCGGGAGCTATTGGTTCCAAGTTCGGAGATAATAGTGGAGGCTCTTGATATGGTAACATATCCCACTGAACTCCGGAGAAAAACGTATGCTGACGAACAGCCGCCGGACCGCCATTGGAAGGACTTCCGAGACGTTCACCAGGAATAATTACCAGTAATTTCTCTACTAAGTCTCTAGCAACTGGATCGAAATTCGTAGCAAATGTATAAGATAAACTCAAGATTTTCTGAAAGGTTTCATATTCATGTACAGGACCACTCTTTCGAAATGGAGGGAGGCCTGAAATCAGTTGGTAAATTATGCATCCAAATGCCCAATAATCCATTAGGTATGTAAGATCCTGAGTGGATTCACTGTTCGAAGAGCTATCACTTTTTCTAGAGATACGAGAAAGCATCTCAGGACTAAACATATTCTGGAGTTCCAGTAAAACTAGGCGCTTTGATGTTTGGAGAATTCAGAATAATAGCTGAACCGAAATCGGCCAATTTGATATGCATTTTATCTGTTAGTAAAACATTTTCTGGTTTTAAATCTCGATGAACTATAGTCACTGAATGAAGATAATCTAAGGCTGAAAAGATTTCTGCTGCATAAAAGCGAGTGCAATGAACACTTAGAGAAGTAAAACGAGTAAGATAGGACAATAGTTCCCCACACCTTGCATATTCAAGAAGATAAAACAATCTAGTAGAGTCCTGGAATGTACAATGTAGACGAATGATAAAAACATGATTTGTGCGTTTAAGTACTTCTTTCTCCATCAGTACAGAATCCACAGCTTTGTATCGCCAAACACGTTGTTTATCAACCACCTTCATAGCAAATTCTGAACTCGTCGAGATCTCTTGAACAACATATACTGTTGAGAAAGACCCATGTCCAATCTCTTTACCGAATTTAAAATCAGAAGGTTTGGGGACAGGTCGAGTAATCCCATCAAGGCTGTCACCTGACATTACCCTACAAAAATCAAATATCTTGACATATACGTAAAAGAAGCAACTATTTAAATTCAAAAGAAATTCGAACATTTAAAAAATCATATTGTGAAGTTGACCCTGATGTACTAATACGAAGTGCATTTGTTAATACATACAATTAAATTGCTAACAACTATGTTCTCCTAGTTTATCGAGTCAACCGGCTGAGTTCCTAACATTAGAAAAGAACTTGCTGCCGCTCAGAAACCTATCAACTTTAGAAATCTATTTATTTTTCAGCAATGCCGAATGAAAAAGTTTTAAACAACCGCTGGGAAAACACCAATAGCTGTATGTTGATATCGGTCCTTATTCTTAAGGTTAGTAAACGCACTATTGTGGATTTAATGCGCTCAGCAACCTTGTGCACATTCGTGCAGTAGGCAATGCGCCACACCTATTGTGTGAGGGTTAATGATACTACCTGGTTGACCAAACGGCGGTAGGTGGAGTATAGCTCGAAACCGTGACCAATCATTTGTAAGTCATCTCCGTAAACCAATGAGCCATAGCCCCACTAAAGTTATTACAGCTACTTAAGTAAAAGAAATAAATAAGTTTAATGAATGATATCATTTAATTAGAAGTATAAAATGAACTTCAGCTACTAAATATATCTTTATACCTTTTGAGAGAGAAATCCACTTTGCACGTTGAGATTTTCACTTGGCACAATGTGCATAACTGCACTAAGGTGACAAATAATTAATCGCTTTGTTCATATGAACATAGTCAACACCATATAGACAGAAAGAGGGTACCTACCACAAGCAGGCAATAGTATATTTCGTAGTAATTTATAACAGTATAGACGAAATAAATAAGGATAAAAAGATACAGGACTAAACAAGAATATGTAGCGAGAAAAAGGTGAACAGTTAATAAAATTTTTGGAATTATGAAGGAACAGAGTGAATAGATTTGAGTCATTCTGATAAACTGTGAGTCATACTAATCATTTCTAACATGTCAAAGACTTCAACTAGGTAGGTACCCTACGATTCTCTAAACGGTTAAAACCAGTAGTCAGTGGCTTCATAGACTTGTGCAAAGTTCGTCTGGTCACCCTCATCTGTTTGACTAACCAAACTACATTAAAATTAACCTTTCTCGTCTAGGTAGATGGTATGATGTGTGTAGTTTTACTGTACGTCAACAACGCTGCAAAAACAATGACCAAACAATTGTACCCTTATTTTTGTTTTTAATATCCATGTTTCACGGATGTTAATTAGAAAAGAGTGAATTACTGTGCACCACTTTATCAAGCAGTAAAAGGTGATATTTAATGTCGAATCAACAAAACATTAGGACTTTTAATGCTTTGACAAGTTCCAGTACGAATCATATCAAGGTCCCGATAAAATTGATGAGACCAGGCCAATGTGAGTACGAACTTCGAGATATGATAAAGTGAAAATTAGTCGAGTAGCAAATGTATGAAACATTGACTCAACTCGTAGTGGAATTTTAAAAGACAGCCTAATGGAAACACTCCTAATTTCTGAAAAGAGAATATGATTTCACTGAACACAGATGATAACCGTTAAATCATGGTTACTGCTTCAGTTATACGGAAGGGGAAAAAGGTCATGTTCAAGTAATATGACCATATAAACTAGATTTTCATTAACATAACAGTTGAAGAGAAAATACATCAGATACTTTGCTACTGTAAACACTAATAAAAAAACTACCCTGCAAATACATATACCTCAACTATAAGCCAACTTCACTCTCTCATGAATTCAAAATTAGGACTTTAAACTGATACTAAATACTTTATTCACGAAAGCACAAGCAGATAGCATTTTTAAACAGTAGAATAGCAGTGCATAAAATAGGAATTCTTTTATGATGGCTAAGCTGATGTAACTGAAAGCTTTTAAACCGCAGCGTTTATTGATAAATTAAAAGATAACAATTAATTTAATACACAACATAACTTTATTTTTTAAGCGTAGTCACCCTTCGAATGGGAAAATCGAAACGCACTCAGCAACCTTGTGCACACCCATGTAGTAGACGATGGGGCCACATCTGGGCTATCTACTGTGTGCGAGCTAATGCTGCTGGCTACCCGAACGTCTGTAGATGGGGCGGGATTCGAACCTGTGACCAAGTGGTTAAAAATCATCTCCTCACAGCCCTACACAGTTATATTTGTGTGTCATTAATTAAAAACATGACATAACATGAGCTGCAGAAGATTTTTATCAGGAAAATAGCAGAAATGGCAATATGTGGAACTAAAAGGATTGGAATTTATTAAGGTCATTTCTGCAGAAGTATCTGGCGACCACTTAGACAGTTGGGTAGTTATCAGTGCTACATTCATGACTACTCTCCACTTACAGGTTTTGTGCATAAAATGACCATCTATGAAAGCTTTCACGCCAGTCGAACTCAGAAAACAATATTCAGTATGAAATCTGCTAAAATGCAGGTACTACCCCCCCCCCCAAGCAACTGGAAATTGTTAAGGGGAGACCTTATTATCACTAAGCATACTATGCTTTCACTGAAAGAAAACATAGACGACAATAATCAAGCATAAAACCAATGAAACTTTTGGACAGTAAATACAGGTTTTGCATTCCTGTGACAGTTCAGTACAGACGAGTGCATAACTACTACCCACAAAACCCCGGAGTTTGCATATCAGAGAGATAGGTTCATTCATGACCTTTCAAATTTGTAAGTAATCAGTACTTTCATACAACCAACACAAAGACTGGAACTCCCAAAGATAAACGCTACCAACCTCCAAGTGTATCCAAGAAGTTAGGAGTCAAACGTGATGTTACAGAGCACGGACTAAATGAAACCAACCAACAGTTGAGCTGTAGAAATCGAAATGCAATCAGCAACCACACTTACGTTCGTTTATTGGGTAACGTGCAACTTAATGATACTCTTTGGCTGGTCAGATCTCAGGAGTAGAGCTTAGGAATTCGATTTTTAACTAGCATGTTAAAGATGAAAAACCCGCACAACAAAAAGGGGTTTGAGGAGTCAAATAAAGTTGTATTTGCATCAGCGAGCCACAAGAGTATAGGGATGAATAACTAGTGAACATATCTGCCCTTTGATAGTTTCATTTTATCAGTAACAGATAGTTTTAAAATCGATGGAGTTTAGGTTACTACACACTGTAACGGAAAAGCAGAAGGCTCTAAATATGAATATAAAGAAAGACAAATTGATGAGATAAAAAGTATGTGAAAACGAGTAAGAAGTTAAGGACTCTAAGTAGGATGGAAAGTGAGTGCGACCAAGTTATTGCTAACCGTTCAAAACCATGTCACAGGGCCTCCAGTCAATGCTTATTATCACCGAGATGCCTTCAGCTACGAAACCGCCAGATGATTAGCATTTCCCGTTTCATCAGTATATGTATTCGAATTTACAAGAGACTTGGACTCGAATCCAGACGCACCAAATTTGACCAGCAAAACCGTTCAGCTTCACATATCTTCCCACAAAATTTCGCGATCAGCATGGTAAATTACTTTGTACCAAGCAGTATTTGTATACATTGACATCCCTAAAATCTGTTAGATGATGCAGGTTTCAGGCGAAGTACGCCAAGCAACTCCTATCTATTCACAAACGTTGCTCTTTTGATGGCCTTTACCCACGCGACTGTTGTAGTCTGTGGGTAAATACCTGAAACATTTTGTCTTCATTCTTTGGTAACAGTTGGCCTTGGATTCTACACAAGAATATGAACTGGATGCATTATGTGATGATTAGTGGTGATACCTAGCTGCATAAACCTCAGTTAACATTACCCTACCAGTGTATTATTTTAGCCTTTGAAACAATGCAAAATAGGTTGAGGGGCACTTTTGAAAACGTCACCTCTTGCTAGTGAAACAAATATCGGTTGCGGACAGCTCTGAACCATCCCTCCTGTGCAGCCACAGGAAATATTTTTTGGAATCTTCAGCAATATCTCATTTTACTTATGGTCAGATATTTCATGGATCCCCAAAGTGAAGTAATGCATTACTTCACTTGGCATATATGCATGCCAAGATTCCGCAAGTTTACACCCAATGATGTGGTCAATTGCCTGATTAACTGCCATACTCACCCAACCAAAGCTCTAAGCTATACTATGTGTAAAACAACCAATTTCTAGAGTTGCCAATTCTCTTACCTAGCTGGTTCAATTTAAGTTATCGTTAACGGCGATCGAAAAGCAGAAAAAATCATGAATATCACACTCAGTCCCCATATTTTCTATTGATATATAATTCACATTTAAAGTAATACTAAAGAATACCTGTAGAACTGGATAGTAGTGAATGAACAGAACGACCCCCAACCCGACTCATCTGCCAAAGTACCACGCTATTTATATTTGGCGGAATACAAACCGTGTGGATAAAACATAAAACTCAAACTTCATATTGTGGAGACATCAGACAGGGATTCCTTGGAGTCTACATCTCTTCTAATAAAATGAGCATCTTTCCTAAGTGGTCAGCTGTTTTTCTGCTTCAGAGAAACCTAAAACAGAGATTCAATATCTTTTAACGAGCTAGTGTAAACCAACTGATTTCTTCGCGCTCGCTTCTAGGTCTTGCGGAACGGTTCCAGGTCTTTGGTGGATTCCAATGCAGTAGGTCCACCCACTCGATTGCTGTAGCTCTGGTTAGCCCGACTGGCGGTTGGGTGTTGTTTAGATTTGTAGGGAGTGTTGTTTGTTTGTTTGCCTTTTCTTCCGAGGACTGTGGTGCAGATGGGTTCCTCAAATGTCGTGCCAGCAGACAATTGGTCGAACTGGTTGTAAAAAGGAGATGAAAAATATGCGCAGAGAAATCAACGGAGGGAAAGTGCAGAGAGAGACAAAGTAGGAAAAGAAAAAGAAAAAGGAAGAATAATATATAGACAAAAAGTAGGAAAAAGGAAATGGCACAGAAGAACCAAACGTTGGTAGGTTCGTGGGGAACAGGTGATAGGGAGAGCTTTTGTTAAAGTTCGAGAACGTAGAGTCAGAAGTAAGAAGAATAAATAATATTATAGGACGAACGGGAATATAGTAATTCTTCTAGCAGAGGATGGTAACTGGAGGGGATGTCTACATGAAGGTATAAGGTTAAGCCAAATTCTCAGTGATAGTGGTTTTACTAAGTGTTCAGTAACGGTTAGTCGTACCGAATTAGTAAGTCGTGTTAGCTTAGTCCACATCCCAATTGGATGAGCGCAAACCGTGCGTCTCTGAGTAACTGTCCAACCTCTTCTTGAAGCTGTCAACAGACGGAGCAGTAGCAATCTCGGCAGGCAATGCATTCCAGTGGCTGCAAACTCGCAGAGATAAGAAGGGTGATCGCACACAGGCTTTCGCTTTTTGGTGGGCGACCCTTTTTGGGTTACCACGAGGATCGCCACAATGGCCATTTGGTAGGATTCCACTGTTCAGATGACTTGGGTCACTTAGTATTTTGTAAGCCGTTATTAAGTCACCACGTAATCTGCGGTAGCTTAGGGAGAACAGCTCTAGATCGTTCAGCCTGTCCTGATATGGTTTTCGCCTCATTCCCAAGACACCCTTTGTAGCTCACCTTTGGACTTTCTCCAGGAAGTTCACGTCTCTTTTCAGACATGGTGGTGCAGTGACGTTGTGTACCTCCAGGTGGGGTCGTATATAGGTCTTATGCAGCTTTGAAAAGAGTTCCGGGGTCAGGGCACCCAGTTGTCTGCGCATGAAGTGCAGTGCTGTGTAGGCTCTGGAGGCGTCTCCTGGATAATTGGGGCTAGTGTCTAGTTTGTCAGTTAGTATTAGTCCCAGGTCTTTCTGTGTGGTGGTGTGGGAGAGTTGTGTTCCACAGAGAGAATAGGGTACCTTCTGAGAATCTGGGGTGCGGAGGAACATGGCTCGGCATTTATCTAAGTTAAATGCAAATCCATTAATGCCCACCCACTCTGCAAGTAATCTGAGATCACTTTGCAGTGCGCTTGATTCCGTTTCTGACGTCACAGCTCTCCATAGCTTCGACGACCGTTGGCTTTTTGAGCGCAGCCCATCTGTGCCATAGGGCTCCAAATGTTCGTCTAACCTCTTCTTGAAAGCATTAGGAGAAGAGGCTATGGCACCGTCTTCAGGGAGTGAGCCCTACAGTCTACGTACAGTAACTGCAAACGGGCTAGCACGGATCGTCGTACGTGGTCCTCCATGCTCTATTCTTAAAGAATGGCCTCTAAGGTGAGGTTACTGCACAAAGTTTGAAAGAAGTCGGTTGGACAATATTCTTTCTAATTAGGTCTCAGTGATAGTCTCGAGACTGAAAACTGAAGTTCAATTCAAAAAACACTGAAAAGAAACCTGAAAATTATTTGATGGCATCCAGCAAAGCGTTACGAATTTCCACTGCTAGGTGCATAGTGGATAGAGTGAATCAAGATGTCACTGGCATTACACAAATATGGCTGTTTGTCGGTCTTGTCGTTAAGTTTGATCACTCTGGATCAAATCTCCCCCAAACAAACACAATTCAGGTAAAAGTTGTTGAGCAATACTGTCTGTTGATGTCTGCCACCAAATATATTCTTGAAGCTCAAGACAGTAGGACCAGGTTGACATTCAGTTGCAACATAAGTTTCTTAGAGTTCACGTTTGGCACTGACGCGATACACCACAGTTCGACTTGACCAGGTGGCTTGTTAATAACAGTGAGTCAGAAAAGTGCAAATTCCTTGTAATCTTTGGGGATTTCGTTTTCGCGTATGCGGACCAGTTTCAATCGTCTTCTCTGACATTCGTCGATGTGTTTTACAGTAGTCTGACCTTCGCTGCTATGAAAACCACTTTAATTCAGCATAACTGCGATGAAGTGGATCTCCATTCTGCCCGAAGCTTTTGACCATTGAATATGGTGTTCTCACATGAAATTGTAGCTATGCATGGAGTGACATTTTTGCCTGGGTGATCAGAGACCATAGTGTACAATCCCTTGAACTTGAAGCTCTAGATAATATTCGAACCTACGTTCGATCTTGTCCAAGCGTGTTTTCTGAACAATACCGTACTCAGGGTGTATCACATCTATAGACTCAACGATTGACGCCTATGCATATATTGGTGATGGGAGGAGGAAGTTTGGAGAAGTGTTCGACTTAGTCACCCCTGATTCCATAACTGGAACGATTCCTGCGGAGATTCCTTAAGGATTTAGAAAACTTATCAGGTGTGAAGCAGAGCAATGAAGCTTATTAACCTGCGATGACTTAAGATAGGTTAGATTGAAATAATGTGGAAATAATGAGACGTTCAATCTAACATCTAGGATAACATTTAGGATGCTTCTGCTTGGTCACTCCACAGGCTATGCTTAAGGACTACTGTTATATATCAAGAAGAGGAAGAAGAAAAGTGATGCTATCGCCATTCTGCTTTTAACTTTCGACAAAATAAGAATGGTCGTGAATGGTTCACAATGGCCGAAACCTTACCAAAGCACTTCACTCAAGCCTATTTTCACTGTCGGTGGACACATTGACTGAACCACTGTTCGTCCTGCTGACAATGCCGTTAAGTAAACCCAAACACTGAGAGACAGGAAGGGCGCAATTGTTAGTTGGGACTTCAGACGTAGCCTTCAGTATGTTTCGTTGTCGATCATCCATTCGGTCTATTACCGAGAGGCTTAACAATGACGTTGTTCCACAATATCTCCAAGAAAATGGGCTGTTCATGTAAATAGGGTATGACTTTGGAGTAAGTTATTCCGTCTTGAACGAAATCATCATTACGTATTGCAGATGCAGATGACGGAACTAACGACCCCTTTAAATAGATTACTACTGAAGTCATTCCTGGAATACGGTGAGCTGGCATGAGGTGTAGCTCCGCAACTTGCAGCAAAATATTCAAAGTAGATCGAGGTACTTTAGCCTCTCCTCGTAAGAAGAGACTATTTTAGTACCTGAATGTTGGCCTCACTTCTTACTTTCAGCCGCATGCGTAAAACAGCGTAGCCATCTAGATCTAATGTCACAAAAAGGTTTGATATACATCGCACATCGTTCCCAAAACTTATCTTTTTTGAAACAGTCTGCGTGAGCTTTCAAAATGAGGGTAAAGAATTACTTCTATGTCCCACAAAAGTGGAACAATGAATTCTTTACTGCATGTGAGTAGATTGTTAGCCATTCCAAAACCTTTCGGATCATGAGCAATTCGAATGGGGGCAACTTTAAAAGGTCTGAAAGAAGCCTATGAAAATGGCTTCTACAGGTTTTCTGTCATCCGCAGAATTTACCCAGCTTTCCGCAATTGGCCAAGGCATGGTCAGGCACAAGAAATTTCTTGCAAGGCCACTTTGTGAATTGGACAACAGGATGTCATTTTCTGATCATCCGAAATGGCCTTATTGACCACCCTTTTTGGAGACTTGGCTTCACTGCCAGTCGGGTTTTTGATTCACAATCTGACATGTGCTGCACGGTCCTCGTGAATAAATGTGGTTACAGCATGCCTCCGGAAGTGCAAGAAAATATCTTTTCTGAAAGCAAGCCTAAATATGGCAGTCGATACGCCGGCCAAGCAGAGAGCACGGACGCTGGGCAGCTCTCATCGTGGCTCATCATTCTCCACTAGCTCCACATTTCTAGGACAGTTTCAGTACCGATTCCTTTGTTGCAAAAGGTATCAGTGGTCTATTCCGTTTGGCAAGGAGGCTTATTTTGTCATGGTTTTCTTCAGAGTAGGCTCTTGGTTTAACAGGGGCTTTCGGATAGCTAGTCCAGTCCACAGAAGAGACTGACAAACCAACTGATTCCGTGTCCGCCTCCAGAATATTGTATGGAACTAAGGTTTCATGGTGGCACAGCACAACCGCTGTCCATATGGAAGGGATCACAACAAGACCACTCTTTCAAGATAGCAAAGGTACCAAATGAACACTCTTTTATCCCCATCAAAGAGGACTGAGTCCGAAACTGAGATGGTTATCAGATAGTATTACTGAGCTTCGGCTTCCATGTGTTTCGCATGAATGAAGGAGTTTGATGTTTGCATTTATTAGCTATCGAAGTGACTACCTGATGTTACCAGTTTATTCCAATCAACTGACGGGGCACTGAAGGCTCCATTGACGGCTTTACTGACTGTCTATACAGCTAATCCGATGTATACGGGTGTAGTGCACCTTCCCGGCACCAAAATACAACTAGGGCTGAAGTAAATAGATTAAATTAAATTAACTAGGTAAACCTCTAGCTCGCCTCCGGATCCTCCAGGCGTTTTACGTTTCCTCTTAACGAGCATGCATCCGAGCAGGCTTCGACGCCTTTTTTGCACTTCCTTAGTGCTGGTTAGCATGCACGTGCTCAGAGTCCCTAGCTCAGCCATACTAGACAGA